ATGCAGTTTTGCTACTCTCGCCGTGAACAACGTGGACTTTATCGCTGGCATCTCGGCGGCTTCAGCATACATGCACATGTGCACATCGATTTCATTTGGCGGTTCACACTCCGATAACATCAAGCATGTGTTTTCAAGACTTTTGCGCGGCAATGACAGTTCTGCAGACCGACCAAACCCCATCCTTGCAGTCTAGCCACATGACAAGGTTCATCAGGAGTGCGTGGGGGAACAATCCATGATGTTGCCAGCCAATGGCATTAGATCAACGAGAAATGCTCAGAGGTTGTGCGTGGGCTCATCATGCGCTTGCACGGACTTGACATGATCAAAACGCCATAGTTGAGCTTCTGATCGTCATAGAGGTGTACACACCAAGGGCTGCACCTTCAGTTCGGCTGTACGTTCTAAGATATCGGCTCTTAGCTGGTTTTGACGCACACACAAATTCCTGCGTGGCAGGCATCTTCGTTGGGGTGGAGGCCGTGGGCCAGCCTCTGCATCCCCCCATCCCCACCACCCACGCTTCTCCCATCCTTGAGGGTGTCGGAGTGAGGGCTTACGGAACCCTAAATACCCCTTTTTGAGTTCCAAAAAGACCCCAAAAAGGCCCTAGAAATCCCAAGAAAAAATTCCCTCTGAGAGGCCGGAGCCTTGCTGATTCCCTCCGCGCTCAGCGTGCTCGGCGGTCTCGCCGAGTCGCTCTACAACTTAAAGGCGCTCTTCCCCGGGCACCAGGAGGCCGCAAAGAAGAGCTTCTTAGGGCATAGAGGGTTTAGGGTATAATAGAGGGGGCCTTAAGAATTAGCTATGATATTGTTTTTTTTTGTTGGGGGGGGTCCTGATCAACTTACATAGCTTTCACGCACAATTTGGACCATGTTTTAGGAGCCTAATATAATGGGCCCCAAGACCCTATTCTAATTATGAAGGCCCCTTTATTAGGTAATGTAGGCTTTACAGGAGGGGTTTAAGGTTGCAGGTCGGAGAAGGAAGCCGAACACCTCTGTGTACTTTTTGTTTGGTTACGTTTCTTTCATCAACATAATATACCAATAGTCTCGCTTCCATTTAGTAGTTAGTAGTCTTTACTGCTATAGTAGCTACTGAACATACATTTTTTGGCTTTATTATGGTGCCATGAAAGGTCCCCTGGGTGCTGATACTGACGGCGTTCGAGTCGGTCCCCATCTACACCGCCTTCTTGCGACTGGGATGCTTCTTCGGGGCTTCCGGATTTGTGTTCTTCGGTTGGTCGTTGGGGGTCATGCAGGGAATGTTTATGGAGTTGCAGCGAGCATTTTGCATGCAAAGTAATGAGTGAACGATCGCACTCATGGTATGTCCGGGAGCACTCGAGTGCAGAGGGGGGCATTTGTCGCCTCTCAGGGCTGTGATCCAGCAACTTATGGGGAACGCCCTCCTGGCAGTCGCCTGCTGCAGCTGCTTCGGCAGCCATTACCTATCCTAGTCATGTCGCCTTCACGTGAGTCGCTGTAGTCTACACCTTGTTGCGTAACCGTGCTGGATCTCTGAGGCTTCATCTTCTGGATATTGCTGCCTGCTTTGACGGGTTCCTTGAGCCTAAAGCTCAAGCCCGGGACAGAAGGTCGCTGGAAGTTCTATCGCAGAGTGCCTTGGGTTCGATGCATGTTGGCTGCATGATCTTGTCCGTTTTACGCGTGGATGAAGCCAAACATGTGCAGCAACGAACCTACCGGATGTCTTGCCCTGAAACAGGTCTGGGTTGAGTATGGCCTGCGCGGGCCGTTGCTTATCGCTATTGGCCTGGCCATGTCTGCATTCATGAGGGACACCCTTGGCAATGATTTTTTGGAGAATCGGGACCCCTTGGATCTGCTATTTTTTTCAACGTTGAACTACTTTGCGCGCAAAACGTTGACGGCCGTGGCTGGCACAGATGTGATGGTTTCAACTTTTTTGCAGAGTCGGTACTGGCGATCTCGTTTCACGGCGGAGGAGCGGACAATCAACGAGGACGCTGGGACCGTCATGCGAACTTTTTCCCTCCCCACCACATTTGGAAGCCTGATCCCTGTAATCCTAAGCCCTAAACTAAATCCGAGACCCCCGACCCCGAAACCCTAAATGCTAAGTGAGCCCTGAACCTCCTTCTCAGGATCGCATGGAGGCACTCGCGCCCATCATCCTTGAGCTGCACACACGTCCGACAGTGGATAAAAACGAGATCAAGATCACTTCTTCTCCCGAAGACGATCCTCAGCCCAAAGTGGTAAGCCTAGGCAGCCACAGGCCCAGGCAAAGACTCAGCTGAGGCCCCGCCGTCCGCTAAGCCTCAAGGCGAGGTCGCCATTTCTGAGTCTCGCATCGTCGTCTCACCCCATGAAGTCCGCCACGAAGTCGCCGAAGTGCGTTCCGACGACGCGGATCTTCCTGAACCCCCTCACGGTACAAATCCGACATCTTCGCTCTCAGGTGGTGCAGCCCAACCAATGACCTAAGCACAACTGAAGAACAAAACACATTCTCGGGCTGTCCGTTCCAGCTGGGAGATAGGCGTCTCATTGCACTTCTGACCGCGACCCTCGAATGAAGCCTTTCCACAAGGCTACATAGCAAGGGCCGACCATCTCTGCCGCGTTTCACGCCTGCACGTGGCTTTGAGTCACAAATGTGCATGCAGGGTGTGAGCTATGCGTTGTAGACAGTGTGCGGTGCATGTCGCATGGTGCTGCAGCTATGTGATCGCATCACGCCCGCAGATCTACCAAGCAAGCTTGATCTCCGATCGTATTCGTCGCGTGTCTGTGTCACTCTAGCTTTCTGCAGCCGTGAAGACACACGAGCAAACACGCTATTTCAAGATTCCGACACGCCAGAGCCACAGCCACAGCCCAGTGGTTCAGACTCATACGGGAGCTGTCATGAGCCCTCCCTAAAGTCCTCCCTTCCTCTAGCTGAAGCTTCCGCGAGCTGGCCGTGGGGGCCTGAGAAAGACTTGTGCAAAGTTGCATCTCCATCTCTCCGATGGATCATGTGACAGGGTGAAATAATTGAAATCGTAGGAATCTCCAGAGCTGAAGACGACTCACGGCTTGGACCATGTTCCGCGGGCTCTCATGACGGTCAAAGGAATGGTCAGTTGACTCTTCGGCGGAGCTGGGCCGAATATCTCTGCTGAGGGGAGTTTAGCCCAGAGTTTACGCGGTCAACGCACAAACTTGAAACACAATAGAGGTCAGAACAGTTGGTCAGCTGAGGCAATGCCGGAAGCCCTGGCCGCGCTAGCGCTAGCAAAGATGTCCCCGGCCGTGGCTTGGCAAAAAAGCAGCGAAGTTCAGCGGGCCGTCCTCACACGGTGTAGGGAATGTCGGGTATGACCTGCTAAGTCTGTGAAAAAACCCAGCGCCTCAAGGCAGCAGCCATGTTTCCCGGTACCGGCGACGAGGTGCGTCATGTCATGGCCCGCCTCTTAAGGCCAAAGGCCCAAATATCTGCAGTCCAAACGACCACGCTCCGCCGCATTCCGAGGATCAGGAGTTCCACATCTTCCCGGACCCTCCGAATCCGGGCGTTGCTCACGGTCACATGTCGTAAAGCATGTCAGAATCTAACGTGTTCGTACAGTCTGCATGTGGTACATGTGTGAGGAGCAAAGACAAGAGCTCTTTGATCAGGCCAAGGACAGTCGTGATGATCCAGAGTTTCGCAGGGATTACAACAGGTGTGTAAGGTGAATTTCATGTTTGTGCCCACTAGGTCCTTGTAGAAGCACACAGCAGTACGGGTGCATAGCACGAGTTGGCAGATATGGACCAGCGCCATCGATGTTCGATGATTGTTTGGCCACCACGCGAATCGAGCACCAAGTGACACATTCCACCACCACCACCACCCACCACCCACCATTCGCCCGCGGGGCAGGAAACGATCATCGCAGCTCGCTCCGCGATGTTCGCACCGGATGCCGCCGCTGCCGGGGACTGGGGAACCCGCATGCACTGCCTTTTTTGTAGCCAGGGCGACAAAAAACCCCGACAAGAGATGCCTTTTTTTTTGAGAAGAGCCGAAAGAAAGGCCTCTGCGGCCTCCTCGGCCTCGGCGATGCCGGCGCCGGAAGTGGCGCAGCAAGGAGCTGCGGCCTCGGATCGACAGGAAGCTAACTACTGCCGAAGCGGCCCTGATGTCGCAAGACCGGGCGTAGCCCGTTTTCTGCAGTTCTAGCTTAGTTGTAGAAGAAGCAGCTCTCAAGGTGTCGGCGTCGGTCCTGGCAGCTTGGACTGCTTTCATGGAGTTTACCAACTCGTGAGCCGCCAAGACACCGCGTCCGCTAATCCGCCAATCCTTCCAGTAGCATAACATGGCATTCTCATAGTTGATTTTGCCATAGCAGGTACTTTAATTGCGGCAACGACAAGCACTTCCGCTCGTCGGGGGCTTCACTTCCTTGGGGCTGCACCACTTAGCAGCATGCGCTGGACTAACAATGCTGAGATAGCACAGTCATCACAGATCATCATCCTTTGCCAAACTCCCCCTCCTCAGACACGATTTTCATCGAAGAAAAGCTGTGGAATTTTGCTGGCCCTACCTCCGGTGGACCCCGGCGCAAGAGACTGCGTGCTGCTGCCTCTTACACTCAGGTCTCAGGTCCCACCTTCCCCTGATCTTCGAAGATGAGTCTGGAAGCTTCGGACAGCCGGGAGCTTCTGAAGCCAAAGCAAGGCTGGAACCTCTTTGGAGGCTCACCAAGCCTCCAAACATGATCCGATTGGGCCTGCAGACTGGAAGCTGGTGGTTGCAAAGCAGCGCTCGTACTCAATTCCCCTTCGACGGAATTGGAAATGCAAGCAGTTTCGCCGAACTGCATCTAGTGCGACGAGGAGCCGGCATCAGAGGAAGGCTCTGGCAAATGAGGTAAGGCGGTCGAGATTCCCGTGCCCTCGGCTCAAACCTAGCCCGCAGCTGCCCGCAGCACCTTCCTCAACGAAGTTTGACTCTTTGAGTGAGATCCGGCCATGTTCCGTGTACTTGCGGTCCTGTCGATGCTCAGCGTTGGCTGTGGCCTGGTGCTCACCGACAAAACCCAGCCTGCCGTGAATGCCAGCAAGGACGATGCTGTGGCACTGGCGGCTGAGGAGACCGAAGCCGGAGACGATGAGAACAACAAGGAAGAGCTGGCACAGATCGCCAAGCAGGACAAAGAGGGCAACACTCTCAGCGAGGCTGACGAAAAGCAGCTCCAAGAAACGCTGAAGGACGAGAAGGAGGGCGCAAACGACGAGGAGAATCCAGAACCCACCGTGGAGACCGCAGCAGAGGAAAAGGTTGCAGCAGCCGAAGAGACAGCCGATTCCGACGAGATGATGGATACTGCGGAAGACGAGGCCAATGCCGCTGATATGGGTGTTGAGGCCGAGGCCCCCAAAGCAAAGTCCGCACCTGCTGCGCCCAAGGCTGCACCCAAGAAGAGCAAGTGAGCCAGCATCTCGACGGGCGCTCTAGCTCAAGACGCTGACCACGTACAGGCAAGTCACAGGACCTCGCGAGAGACCAGCCCTGCCGTGGACAAAGGTGAAGGCATGATGATGTTGAGTGACCCAAGCATAGGCGTACTAACGTACTACCAGTAGTGCAGGATATCATCATCCCATGACGCGCCCAGTCCAGTTCCCGGTTCTTTGGTGTGTGGCACTGTGTGGCTGTCTCCTTTTGCCCAAG